TTTTCAGCAGAATTTTGTTTTTTAATAGCACAGTGGGACACACTAAAATCATTCAGCTAATAGCATACTATACTGGATGCTAAAAATAAATGAACTAAAGTTCCTGTTTTCCAAGATCTCTCTCTTCAGACTCAGTTACACTGAAAATACACAAAGAAGCTTTTAAAGGAACTTCTTACGTTCCTACTGTTTATTCATATTTTCTCCCAGAGACCCATTTCTTCTCCCAGGGTGGAAATTTTCTCTATTTCCTTATATTAATACCCCACTGGTGAGATAACCTCTAAGGAATATTAGATGTTAACATGTTAAAGACTGTGGCTGATTTTTTAAATTAACTTTATTGAGATAAAATTTTTATCTAATAAAATGCACTTTTAGGTGTACAATTTGATGAGCTTTGACAAATGTATACAGTCATGTAACAACTACTAAAATCATACTAAACATTTCCATCCGCGCCCCCCTCCACGTTCCCATGTTCCCCTTTACGGCCAACTCCCTTTCCCCCACTTCCTGGCCCCTGATCTGTTTATCGCGATACTTTTGCTTTTTCTAAAGGTTCATTTAAATAGAAGCATATGATAAGTATCTTATATCTAGCTTATTTCAGTTGGTAAAAATGCTTTTGAAAAGACTGTCCATGTTGTTGCTTATATCAGGAATGCACTTTTTTTTTTTACAGTTTAGTATTCCATTGTATGCCCATACAACTATTTATCAATTTACCAGCTAATAGACATTTGAGTCTCTTCAGTTTTTGTTGTTGTCCTTGGTACCGTTAGCAACACTACATTAAACAGTCAAGTACAAGTCTTTGTATAAGCATATGTTCTCATGGGTCATATAGTAAATGTATGTTTAACTTTATGTAAAAACTTCATATTGTATTCTGGTGCCTATTCCTGAGCAGATTTGCTTCAATTCCTCAGTTAAAAGGAAAAAAAAAAAAAAAAAACCCTCCACCCACAACAATTCAAGTTATTGATGCCACTGAATACAAATCACTGACAGAAGTAAGAATTGATACATCTGTTAATATCAAGCGCTCAGCATGGGTGTGTACTCCTGGAGATGAGAAACAGAGCGCACGGTCTGAGGAGGGAACTGTTACACTGTTTCTAAATAAGTAGGACTATCTGTTGGGAGACCTAAAGTTAAATATTTTGGACTCCTGCTGTTCAAAGTGGGATCCATGGACCAGCAGTGTTGGCACCACCTGGGAACTTGGTAGAAATGCAGACCCGCAGCTCCACACCCTTGATCCACTGCATCAGATGAGCACTTTAACAAGACCCCCAGGTGATGTGTGTTTGAGAAGTACTGATGGAGATGGTCAGGGCAAGAGAAATTACATCCCAGAGGGTCTGGCCTCGTTTTTGAGAGGAACCGGAAGCTCACCCTAAGTTCCTCGCTATCTCTTTTAAAAGTCTTTTGGACTTGACCTTTTCAATTTTCCAATCCACAGAATTTTCTCTGAAGAAACCAGGCAGATTCTCTCTGAAATAAGTGACTTTAAGCCGAATTTCCCTCACATTCTAGGGAATATTTGTGGTTGCCTTGTAAATTCCCTAAACATTTTCATTCCTATATCGTTTTCAGTCTTATCCTTCCACTTGCTACCACTATCACCACGATACTCCTGGTATTTTGAGAGGAAATTCTCCTCTCATGATATCTACAGGACACACATTTCATTCTGCATTGCCTAAAATGGTCAAGTGCATCACCAGCCAAACCTTTACAACAGCATTCCCAATTGCTGTTGTTCACAGCTTGAACCCCGGAATTACAGACCTCAGAGCTGGGAAGAGTTCACAGCATGTTGACAGAGAAAGGGCTTATGTCACCATATTATAGAAGAGACAGCCAGGATTTAGAAAAATTTAAAAACTTGCCAAAGGGGATGTCACTCACAAGTAGCGGAGTCCATGGCGTAAAAGGACATTTTTATGTGGACTTTCCTCCAGCACAATTCCAGTCTCATAGTGGGGGCACAGTAATAACCCACTAGTCTTGGTTTTGTTCTAGTCCTCTCCAACCTCCATGGTTTTCAATTCCCGAACCACCTCCTTTGGGTGGCACTTCACGGACCTGGGTCTCACTCTAACTTCTCTGCCTACGTTTCTAGGTCTCTTCCTCCTGGGCACACGTAAATGTGGGCCTTCTCCAGCTCTTATCTTAATTAATGCTGGTTCCTAAACCCACGTGCCCATTTCTTCTCAGCTTCTAGCAATGATCTCTAATCTCGCTTTAAACCAGCCCACGTGCTGCACCTGGCGCCAAATCCTCAAAGCCCAGCTCTCGTTCTGTCACCCACTCCACAGGGAAACCATCAGTGGCTTCCCACTGGCTGCCAAATAGATATAAAATCGCTTAGCCTGGCATGTAGGACTTCTATAATTTGGTCCTTCCACCTTCTCCTCTTCCACTCCATGCAATTTATTCTTTGCAGGTAGCAGCATAATTCGGTGTTAAGGTTGCCTGCGAGGCAAGCAGACCCTGGGGGTTTGAGTCTCAGCTCTACAAATCTGACCAGTTCTAGGACCCTGGGAAGTTGCTTAACCTCTTTATAACTCAGTGTCCTAGGCTGTAAGATGGAATAATACCACCCAAAAGAGCTAGTGTAAGTAGTAAATATAAAGCACTTAGGTAAAAGTCTGGCACGCAGTAAGGGTTCTCCTAATCTTGTTCTCATTCTTCTTTTAAAACAAATGAAATATTAACTGCCCATATACCAAGCCCTTACTAAAAAATGAACTTTGTAACATCCTGGCAAAGACCCTAAAGAACTAATGACATTGTGCTAATAATAGCCTCAGAAAATTAAGCTTCCATTACGATGCTAGCTATTTCTGCACATTCATTTCAACATTTCAAAGTATCCGTGGTAGGAAGACTTATTCATCTGCTTCTGAATAAGAAATGAAAGGTTTGATTGATCAAGGTAATAGTAATCCGTCAGCAAAACTCATGTTAGAATTAGACCCTATTTCTGGCTATAGAAGCAACATCTTTTTATGCTTTTCATAATACAACTGCTCTGGAGTTCTAGTAAAAAAACAAACAATCCAGACTTGTAATCAGCATATCAAATTTATGTCTTGAAGCAAGAAATAAAATCAAGAACTCTGCAAATAATTTGAGTGGACAAATGGTTTCATCTTACACTGTTATACTGTTGAGAAGGATTCAACTATTGCGTTCTAGATTCAGAAAGAAATAGCAGGGTCAATCAGCAATGTCTAACAAGGTAAGGATGAGGAGCTGAGTGTCTCAGCCCTAGAGAATGGGAGCAGAAAATGAAACACTGCAACAGATGGCAATAAAAATAGTTTCAATGTTCTGAACACTTATGTAATAGAACTGTTCTAAATATTCTACACATGTAATTCTTTTAATCCTCAAAACCACCCCTTAAGAAAGGTACTATTGTCATCCCTATCACACAGATGATGACACTAAAGCACAGAGAACATACAACGTACTCAAGAATCCCCAGGTAGTTAAGTGGCAGAGCTGGAATTAGAGAGCAGACACACACCAGAATCCATGCTCTTCACTATTATGCTATAGAGACTCAAAATATTTCCATCTGATGCCAGGAGATGTAAAGACTGGCAGGAAAGACAGTTCTACAAATCACCAAGATGACGACAGCTCAGATTCCATTAAATTAGGATTTGTCTGTCAGTAAGAAACCTGCAGGTCTAGCCCTGCGTCCAGCCCAAGTTGGTGGTGTTCAAGAGTTTTGCAAGCCCAGTGGCTCAGGACCCTGGGGAAGGGCTTTGAAACCACTCATGAATAATCTCGGTGTGAACAATGAAGAGCTCAAAAGATTCCCAAGGACCAAATCCCAAAACCATTGTAAATGTCCAAATCTGCCAGTACCACTAAAGAAAGCATTATGTTCTCAGTCAATGGGCGTCCTTCACAAAAATGATTTTCAAACAAAACAGTAATGTAACAAATTTGCCAGGAGAATAACTGCTTTCTGATGAGCCTTCACAAATCAGAAGGACTGTATGGACACACGGGTAAAATGTGGAGCTAATTCCTGATGGACATTTGAGCTCCAGAGCTTTCTCAGAATAAGTTTATGAAGTGGGGTTTTAAATTTGTACATGGGTTCCAGGAATGGTAAGGAGAATATGCCTAAAAATCATAGTAAGGTACTTTAATAAAATTATTATTAATTGTAGCATTTAAGGATGGAGAGGGAACTCGAGTTCATTCTATTGAGAAAACAAGGCCCAGGGAGGGCAAGCATCTTGCCCAAGGTTACACAGCTTATTAACAGCAGTTTCTACAATAGCTGTGATGCATGTAACGATCTAGTTTTAACTTCAGTGTTTTCTTACTCTTCTACTTCCATACTGGCTTAGAGTAGTCCCAAAGAAGATATATTCACGCTGAGAATAAAAAAAATATTTAAGGGGCATTCAGCTGGGTTGGTCAGAAGAGCATGCAACTCCTGATCTTGGGGTCATGAGTTCTAGCCCCAGATTTGGGTGTAGCGATTACTTAAATGAATAAACTTTAAAATAATAATAAAAGTATTTATAAGTTCCATAGCTCAACTTTGGGATATGCTGATGAGTCACTGGTTACATTAAAAGTCTCATGGGCCCTCTGGCCACACGTTGAACTAGTAAGAGATAAATTAATAGGCATTTTAGGGGCACTGGGTGGCTCAGTCCTCAAGCGTCTGCCTTCGGCTCAGGTCATGATCCCAGGGTCCTGGGATCGAGCCCCGCATCGGGCTCCCTGCTCAGCGGGAAGCCTGCTTCTCCCTCTCCCACGCCCCCTGCTTGTGCTCCCTCTCTCGCTGTGTCTCTCTCTCTCTGTCAAATAAATAAATAAAATCTTTAAAAAAAATAAAAAATAAATAGGCATTTTAAAGTCATTTGGAAGAGGTGGCAACATTGTATAAGAACATTTCAAGTGTTCAAACTCACATCTAAGAAGTCTGAGACAGTGGTAGTGTTGCCTTGACTTACCTGCACTTTTAGGAATCTGTTTCCCAAAGGCACTCTGCTCCTGAAGGTGAAGGATGTGGTAGGGTCCCAGAGGCCCGGGAGCCTGTCCGCTAAATTGTCGGAGCCTGTCCACTAGAAATAAGCCAAGACAAAGGGTTGGGCTGCTTCTTCACTTGCAAGTGCTGCAAGAAAACACAAAGATAGCATGCTCATTAAGAATGGGCTTCACGGGGCGCCTGGGTGGCTCAGTCGTTAAGCGTCTGCCTTCGGCTCAGGTCATGATCCCAGGGTCCTGGGATCGAGCCCCGCATCGGGCTCCCTGCTCCGCGGGAAGCCTGCTTCTCCCTCTCCCACTCCCCCTGCTTGTGTTCCCTCTCTGGCTGTCTTTAAAAAAAAAAAAAAAAAAGAATGGGCTTCACTGCCCAAGAAAAACTTTAAGCCATTAAAAAATGTTTAATGAATACATCGTCTTAGTAAACTCACTTCTGACCCCTCCGAAAATGCTTGACAGGGTGATGAAATTACCAAAAACAAAACAAAAATCCAAGAACAAAACCAGCAGCGTATATTACGTTACTAGAGCTCATGACTGGTTATCCACCGGATCCAGCTCAGGTCCTTGGGAAAAAAAAAAAATCCAGCTCAATTAGTCCAAAACAACCTGGCCATGAAAGAACCATCTGTCTTATTTTTCAGCTTCTCTCAACACACATACACACAGCATTATTGTTAAATGCAGAGGTGAGAAAGGAAACTGTCGCTCTGAAAACCCTCCAAGGAAGAAGGGAAAGGAGACAGGAGAATGAGGAGGAGGTCAAGAAGAATGAAAATATCTAGGAGAAAGTGAGGGGAAAGGAAGCATGGAGAAATTACAAGAACAACTAGTTTAAGAATGTGCTGTGGGCTACTTTCTCAAAATAATAAATAAATAAATAAATAAAAATTTTTTTAAAAATCCCAAACTGCTCTTGCTACAGCTCTTCTTACACAAGACTAACCCTGCTACAAAAACAAACAAAACAAAAACTGCACACTCTGCACTTGTGCTAGTAGAAAATGTTATTTAAAAAAAACTCTTGGGGCGCCTGGGTGGCTCAGC